TGACAGACAGATACACAAGGGTAAAACAGTATACCCTCTTCTTTTTCAGAGTGGGGGCATAATAATCTAACTGTGTCTTAGAGTCTAACACGCTTCATGAAATATGCCGGCGTGAAGTGTCGTAGTTCATAACCTCATGAATCTTCAAAAACTAAATTCATTTCTAAAATATACCATTTATTAGCCCTCTAAATAGGGTATGTTTCAAGCTGAGCAAGAAATTAAATAGTTTTGAACTCCAACTTTCACTTTTATCAGGTAATTTCCTTCACTCACTTGGCTTTACATTTTGTAGGACAGAATCTCTTGATTTTAAAAGCTATATTTTTATCACTTTCAGTACAAGAAGCAATCTTGATTATCCATGCCTCATCTAAACAAGATAGTGTACTCTAATGATGAAAGTTCAAGTTTTGCTTTAAAGTGGCTTTTAAAGTATTCAACAGCTGCAGTGTTAGAGTAAGACCTATCTATGATTTCATTGATTTGGTTTGTTTTTGTTTTGTTTTGCTTTTTTTGAGAGCTCACAGTCCATTACTTCATTACTTCATATTTGAAAAGTCAAATACTTTGTGAACTATTTTGTTTATTTCTTACACTGTATATATACTGCTTCATAGATCTATAGCTTTACCCATTTGAGATAGCTTAATAAGCTAAATAGCTAATAAACAAGAGATAGTGCTGGACTTGTTTTGAGCACCTACATTTTCAAAAATCATAATATTGAAGAATGCATTATAACATACATACCAATGAACAAGAGTATGGGCTTCATCCACCACAAATAGACGGAATGTCTTTGATGCGAACAACATATCCCGCCATTTATCACTTTGCAGTATGGCTTCTGGCGAAGAAAAAATGAACTGGAACTTCCCTTCAAACATCTCAACATCTTCAGACGCATCTTTGCCGATATAAACCCCTTTGATACTAGAAAATCTGTCTGTTCTTTCATTATCGACATGAGGGGACTAATAACAATCACATGCGTGTCACTCACAGTTGAAAAATGTTCGTAAAGTAAAGGAAAGGCCATATAGCATAAGGATTTCCCCCACCTGTTCTTAATGAGAGGAACACATCCTTTCCGTTCAGAAGACAACTTAAAGCTTTTCTTGTTGCGGGTTCAATCTCTCCACGTTAAAAATTTCTTTCACTTTCTCCATACCATGCTGTATACCGGGCGCCGCCATTGTTAATAGTTCAGCCGAATATCATTTGAAAGGTGTTCTGTGATTGGTTGGAAATTTTCAGGAGCGCCGAGCAAAATTTTGCTCGGACAAAATTTGATTGGCTTTCCGGGTTTATGCATAATTCATGAGAAACAAGCAAAATGATGATCAAACAACCACGGGTTTGAGGAAGCCTGCGGACTCAAAACCCGTGGTATGCGACGATGGCACTGAATAGATTGAAGTTGCACCTAAGGACCCTTACGATATCAGTGAAGGTTTCGTGTCTCTACGGTTTACGGTTTCGGAGGAGTAGCGATAACAATCTTTACAGTGAAAGGGGCAATAACTGCGTAAGGCGTCAAAGTTCAAACATGGGGGGTCGTTTTTCGGAATAACTTTATATATCCAGTATCATGAAATAAAAAGTTTTTCGATACTGAGAAATAAAATAAAAATAAACAGGAGCATTTAAAGAGGTCTTTCCACAGAAAGGTGGAAAGACCTAATTAAAACAAGAGGCCCAGGGGCCATATCGCTCACCTGAGCAATTGGCTAGGAAAAACACAGATCAGATCAGAACTGAAAGTAAACTGGGGGGGGGGGGGGCACTTGAATTTTCAACCCCTCATAGGGGGTCATGATTTGAACAAACTTGAATCCACACTACCTGAGGATGATTCCCTATAAATATAACGTAGCCTGGCTTTGAAGTACTTGAAAAGAAGATTTTAAAAGGTTTCCCTATATGTTCCTATGTAAAACTTTGATCCGCCATTTTGGCCCCACCCTACCCCCGGGGGTCATGATTTGAACAAACTTGAATCTACACTACCTGAGGATGATTCCACATGAGTTTAATCTTTCCTGGCCCAGTGGTACCTGAGAAGAAGATTTTTAAAGATTTTTCCTATATATTAACTTTCCTATGTAAAACTTTGATCGGCCATTTGGCCCCACCCTACCCCCGGGGGTCATGATTTGAACAAACTTGAATCTACACTACCTGAGGATGATCCCACATGAGTTCCATTTTTCCTGGCCCAGTAGTACTTGAGAAGAAGATTTTTAAAGATTTTTCCAATATATTCCTATGTAAAACTTTGATCGGCCATTTTGTCCCCACCCTTCCCCCGGGGGTCATGATTTGAACAAACTTGAATCCACACTACATGAGGATGATTCCACATGAGTTTCATCTTTCCTGGCCCAGTGGTTCTTGAGAAGAAGATTTTTAAAGCTTTTTTCCTATATATTCCTATGTAAAACTTTGATCGGCCATTTGGCCCCACCCTACCCCCGGGGGTCATGATTTGAACAAACTTGAATCTACACTACCTGAGGATGATCCCACATGAGTTCCATTTTTCCTGGCCCAGTAGTACTTGAGAAGAAGATTTTTAAAGATTTTTCCTATATATTCCTATGTAAAACTTTGATCGGCCATTTTGTCCCCACCCTTCCCCCGGGGGTCCTGATTTGAACAAACTTGAATCCACACTACATGAGGATGATTCCACATGAGTTTCATCTTCCCTGACCCAGTGGTTCTTGAGAAGAGTAATTTTAAAGATTTCCCCTACGTATTCTTATGTAAAACTTTGACCCCATATCATGGTCCCACCCTACCCCTGGGGGTCATGATTTGAACAAACTTGAATCTACACTAGCTGAGGATGATCCCAAATGAGTTTCATCTTTCCTGGCCCAATGGTTATTGAGAAGAAGATTTTTAAAGATTTTTCCTATATATTCCTATGTAAAACTTTGATCGGCCATTTTGGCCCCACCCTACCCCCGGGGGTCATGATTTGAACAAACTTGAATCTACACTACCTGAGGATGATTCCACATGAGTTTTATCTTTCTTGGCCCAGTGGTTCTTGAGAAGAAGATTTTTTAAAAATGCCATTATTTTTTTCGGTAATCCATGATTATCTCCCCTTGGAAAAGGGCGTGGCCCTTCATTTGAACAAACTTGAATCCCCTTCACCCGAGGATACTTTGTACCAAGTTTGGTTGAAATTGGCCCAGTGGTTCTTGAGAAGAAGATGAAAATGTGAAAAGTTTACGACGACAACGACGACAACGACGACGACAGACAACGGACAAATTTTGATCAGAAAAGCTCACTTGAGCCTTCGGCTCAGGTGAGCTAAAAAACGGAAGAAAATCAATAGGTCTTTCCACTGAAAGGTGGAAAGACCTAATGAGTAGAATGGAAAAAGACTGAGGAAGGAACTGAAACAATGGGTGAGATCCCTTGTGAGAGGGAGAGTCTGAATGGATCTCAAAATGAATTTTAAAGTGAGGATGAAGAAACTGTTTTACAAGGCTTCACAATATTGAAATGGAAATTGAAAGAGAATTTGAATGAAATAAAAAGAAACATTCTCTTTCTTTTATTATGGATATTTTCATTTTTAATTCGGTGTGCTCCTGAAGATTATTGTGGGCTTTACATTGTTTCATGGCTAAAAATGTATAAAGTAGGTGGCCAACATGGCCCTAGGGTTTTAAAAGTTATTTGCAACCTTGAAAATTAGTTTCATAAATATTAAAGGACCACATAGGTACACGAAATACATGTAACTTAAAATGCGCTTTGCATGTCAACATCAACCGTGACTTTGGGTGTTTGTTTAAAAGGTCTCCTACGAAAATATGAAGCTCACATAAACAGACAAAACTTTCAGGAAGTCTTCACTCATTTAACCTAGAAGCTTGTTTTAATTAAAACTTTATCTTCGGACTTTTGCTTCCTAATTGTTTTCTTGCTGAAAATAAAGAATTTAATGTGTATTTAGGCACAAATGTGTTCTGCTAAAAATAACATTATGAAATTTTAATCAATGACTTTTTAAAGAAAATTCTTATTTACTTTGACTTTTTAAAATTTATTTAGCGACTGACAACTGATAAACAATTTTTTTCATTCCTCAAGGCAATGCTCTAGAAATAAAAACCTAATGAAGAAGTGCTTGTTTTTAAAAATTTGACAAATTAAAATGTAACATCTGACACATAAAATATACCTGTAAGCAATTCGTATTTGCTACTTTATGGACACTCCTTCTCAATATAGTGCTGATTTATTTATATATTTTTTAAAAATTGCAATAAAAGAACCATCGTCTGGGAAGCCTAGTCGATAGAGCGTTCACTCCGTGATCTGAAGGTCATGAGTTCTAACCTCGGCCATGACAGATCTAAATCGATTTAAAAAAAAAATATGTAGCAGATGTTCCTTCACCAAGTGCTCGGAATTATGCTGTTTAGCGGGTCCTTCAGATGAGAACTTAAAATCCAAGACTCGTTTCGCGGCGGGCGTTGGCACATTAAAGATTTCTTACTGCTCAATGGCCATGAGTGCTAAGTAAAGATTTAAATTTGAAGCCCTTCGCCAGAATATGGTGAAGTTTCATTATTAGTACAAAAAAATCCCGAATGGGAGGTAAAACAACACACATATATAATCTAACAATCGACAACTCGACTTTTATGCAGTAATTTACCAACATAAATAAAGCTGACATCATTATTAGTAAAAATAAATCTCGACTATGACGTAAAACAACATACAGTCAATCAATCAACATCTAGACCCTTTGATGCAATTTTCTTTTAACAACACTTAAGCTCTACAAATTTTTTTAAGGGCATTTATTTCTCTATGAACGGTCGATTAAAAATGAAAATTCTAGTTTATTTTAGGTCGGAATATCAAGTGAAACACAGTGAGTACATTCTTTCAGCCAAGTTTCATGTCCGTCAAAACAACATATTTCTCATTTGGTATGAAGCTCTGTACAAGACAAAAACTATTATTTCACTTTTTATTTCAATTTAAACAAACAATAAAAACAGGAGGATAAGATATTGTACTCTTATTTCTGCACTTTTCGCACATATACATTTTTCATCAATCGAACGATTTCACCTGTCTTCAAAGATGGAAGTTGATATACAAATAAGAGCAGCAAGGTCCGAGATTGCTTCAAAAGTAATTTATTTACGTCCAGGACGATCTGAAAGATAGAAATGTCACATATACATGTATAAAAGAACTCTTCATCAATTAAGCAAAAAAATGAGCTAAGTTACATGAAGCTTTTAAGGTAGAACATTAATCGGTGACGGCTGTTTCCTCTTTCTTTTAAGAAATGAATGTAATATTTTTTTTCATTTGATCGAAGTATCAAAACAAAAACTTGGATTGATTGTATACTGTTTAACGTTCCTCTCCAGAATATTTCACTGACATGGAGACGTCACCATTGTCGGTGAAAGGCTGCAAATTTAGGTCTATGCTCGGCACTTACGGCCTTTGAGCAGGGAGGGATCTTTATCGTGCCACACCTGCTGTGACACGGGGCCTCGGTTTATACGGTCTCATCCGAAGACTGCCCCATTTAGTCGCCTTTTACGACAAGCAAGGGGATACTGAGGACCTATTCTAACCCGGATTCCCACGGGACCAAAAACTTGGAAGGTAAACTTGGAAGGTAAACGTGATCAATGCGTGTTGCGTATTGATGAAAATATTTTCCGTTCAAATCTTTTCCTTGATACTTCGATCAAAGAAAAATAATATATTACATTCATTTCTTATCATTTAATATTATGATTGTAAATTAATAAAACGAAACTTTCTTTCACTTAACTATGAAATTTACGCATCAATTGCGTATGAATACATCACAACAACGTTAACGTTTCTGATATATTCAAAAAGGCTAACGTATAGGCCTAACGAAAAAACAAGGTATCAAATATTGTCGTGTCATTAACAACCTTCAACAATAATTAACAGTTTTTTAATACGAAGAGTTGCTGTTGAGTTATTATATTTTGCTATATCTCAATGGGTATTTTACTCCGGTTAGTTTGTAAACTTAAGGGGAAGCTACTCAAATATCCTGACAGTTTTAGACCACAGAAATTTTGGATTTCATTTGCGCTCCTTTTCATCTGAATTTCAAACCAAACCTATAAATACGTATTTCAATCTGTTAATGCTGTAAAATCTGAAAGAGTCTGTTACCGACTGTTTAAGATTAGGCTTAAAGAATTCCATCCTGACCTCATTCATGCGGTGTCGTTTTCCTCGATCATTCGTTTCCTAAGAATTAACAAATGAACAGCATTTCCCAGCTTTGCTATCATATAAACATTTCTTCACAGTTCTATTGTTCATACTAGTTATCTCAAAGACATTCATTTAACATAAGTATGCTGATTTCTTTCATTCTTCCCCAATTACTGTATTGTTGTCATGCAGACGATTTGGTTTGTTTAACAAAGGGGGATAATTAAAAAAGAAACGAAAGTAGGAAATCAGTCAGAATCGTAACGGACAGGTTTCGAAATTCAGGAAAATATCTATTAAAGTAAATGTACTTCATTATTACTTCAAAAAATAATCTGGAAGCGGAAAATATTATATAATGTAAAGACAGCCAAAGAAGATCAAGCTGCTTAGTGCAAGCGAACTCTAGATTTTATTGATGCAGTTGTCAAAACAATTTTTTATGAAATAAGAATCAAGTATTTTATAGAAATTAAATGATTCTCTCATTCTGTTAGTAATAGCTTCATTATTTCAACTTCTTTAAATTTCAACCAGAATTAACACAAAACAACCTTTGGTAAGGGTCATTTCTAGTTTATTGCGTGGACCCTGAGGTCCACGCAGTAAATATATAAGCGAAGTTAAACCGGATGCCCTGGGCAAACGACAGGCTACGCATGCGCGAAAATGCTAGAGAGTTCGCACCTTAGGTAACTTGCCCGTAAAGTAATTCGCTCTATTCGAATTAAAATATGCCATTCATTGACAAATCGCGTTTTAAATCTGCATATCGCATTTACATATTCATTGGCAGATCCGATTTTCTCTCTTTTACATATATACTTTTATAAAACTAAACATTGATTCTATGGTACAAGCATTTTAAGAAGTTACAGTATACAGATACATGTAACTTACAACTTGAATGAAAAACGTCAATCAGCGAATAGAGATTTAAAAAGATAGAGCGAGTTTTCACCGGCATTAGTTTTAATTTGTGCATCAAGGCTCGCAAAATAATTTAATATTTCGTTTGATAAAAGGTCTGTAGCAACGGCTTTTAATGTGTGTGTGTGGGGGGGGGGGGGGCTCCTACAAAAATATCTGCTTACTTTAGAGCTGTGCTACTCGTGAACCATCAGGTCTCTATTTTCCCATGACGAATTTCTTTCGTATAAATCCAGACCGGGTGTTAAGTCCCAGCCAGTATGAGTTGCACGTATCAAAATAACCCGATGTTTTAAACTGACAAAACTAAAGGTCGCTAATAGGAGATAAAATTTCACAATTTTGCTTTGAGGCAACAATCAGTTATAAGTAGGCCGATCATTGTAGAAAAAGTGAACAAACCTACATGAATATTCCCTACTCCTAGAAATTTTCTTAATTGAATTTCAGTTAGGAAAAAAAACATGCATATGGTCCACGTATTGCAGTCCTTTTTTAAAGGACAGCAACTTGTAGTATATATAAGTCCTTCATAAAAACAACCAAAAAATACTGCATGTGAAACAACAGGCCATTTTCATAAAATCGTTTGATTGCCCTCTCCCGACTGACTGACCTTAAAAGGTGAGACTCAAACCTTTTTGATTTTACATTCCAGGAGACGACTTCTTTTGCATTCCTCTTATCCCACTTAACAAGTATGTTGAAATTTTCTGGAAAAAAAATTCCCATACACCTACCGACCCAATATTGTTATCTTGATTCGGGAGAGGGCTAGCTGCAATAATGTAGCCCTCTCCCCCCCTTTTTTTTGGGAGAGGGCTACAACTCCTTAGGATCTCCGTAATCGTGCAAAGCGGGAGCGATTCGCTCCCGCACGGATTTCGGTTCAAATTGTCAGTAAACGGCTATTTTATTTATATGTCTTACCTGGACTTCCAAAATGTAGTTATCCAAGACATAAATCGATTAAAATATATACAGAACAATCCCTATATCAGTATTTTTCGTGTATGTCAACATCACAACTTAAATTTATCTGCCATGTTTACTGACCTTGACAGCTTTTATTTTCGGACAGCCAATGAGATTAAGGATCTATAGGGAGCGGATTTCTTTGGAATTACCGTATTTTAAACCTAAATATCGCTGTTTACGAAAGATGACACATGGAATGATTTTATTTATCGATGTTTAGTGTTACTATTCATCACAATTATTTATAATCATCGACATTTACTTTATTGAGTTATTCTAAATTTCAAGCGCAAGTGTCAGTACGCCACGCGTGAACTATCATGGCTGCTGAGTAAGCGAGAAGTAAATATACAGAATTATTTTACATGGTTTTCGCGTTTAACGAGAAATGATGTCGACAGTAAATAAAAATCTGGTCTTATTAGAAGTAAGTTGAATGTAGAAACAATTAATTCTGCCTGCAGTCGCCCGTATTAAAAAAAAATATTTTTGCACCATTACGGAGACGCTGTGGAATAGTAGCCCTCTCCAGAAAATATCAGATAAAAAAAATCGGAGAGGGCTACATTATTGCAGCTAGGAGAGGGCAAGCAAACATTTTTAAAGATGGTTCTCCGCCACCCTAATATTGGTGATATGCGAAACGGCAGATACTAAATCGGCATGTTATATAACCTTATCCAAACTAGAGGTACTGTGAGCATGAGCTCACTAAATGATACCCCCCGCCTCCCATATGGTTATAACTGGTAAAAAAGTCCATGTTTTCCTGTGGCCGGGAAACCCAAAATATGTGTCAGATCAAAAAGTAAAATAGAAGGTGCACAATGGCAATATGTAATAAAGATTCTGTGAAAGTTTCATCAAATTTCATTCAGTGGTATGAGAGGAGTTGCGGATAAGAGATGGGTACCCCAAAGCGTAACAGACTGACGGACAGACGGACGGACGTACAGACGGACGGACGGACGGACGGAATTAACGATTACTATATACCCTCCCGCTTTTCAAGCGGGGGGTATAATAAGTAAACTGCCTCTAAAAAGGGGGAACTTGCATGTACATGTATATATATATATATATATATATATATATTTTCGTCCGTTATGATATGGATCATTTGAATGCATTATTTACCGGTAAAAAATATACCAACTTTCGGGACTCAATTATCACAGGGAGCCAAAATCATTCATGGAACCGAGGTTTTAATATTTTAAAATACATTGCAAAGAAACATTCTCATTTTTTATACCCCCGCTTGAAAAGTGGGAGGGTATACTGTAATCGGTATGTCCGTCCGTCCGTCTGTACGTCCGTCCGTCCGTCTATTACGCTTTAGGGTACCCGTCTCTTATCCGCAACTCCTCTTATACCACCGAGTGAAATTTGATGAAACTTTCACAGAATCTTTATTACATATTGCCATTGTGCATCTTCTATTTTACTTTTTGATTTGACACATATTTTGGGTTTCTCGGCTACAGCAAAACATGGACTTTGTCATCAGTTAGAACCATATGGGAGGCGGGGTGCATCATTTAGTGAGCTCACTGCTCACAGTACCTCAAGTTTAAGTTCAAACTTACATGCTCTCCTCTTGCAGCGGTTTTCACATCCCTTCTTCGATTCAAAGTTATTTTGATTTCCCTGACACCCGCCATAGTTAAATCTTTCACAGCGGTTCGTTCTTTTGTTGTACCACCAACGCCTTATTAAAGCTTTACAAGGACCCACGACCTTTGGTTTAGAACAAACGTCCGAGGGATCTAAAACAGAAAAGATACCTGAATAATTTCATTAATACAGTGATTTTTTTTCTCCCCCCCCCCCCCAAAAAAAAACAAAACTGAACCCCCCCCCCCCCCCCAAAAAAAAAACAAAACAACACACAAACAACACAAACTTCAACAGATCACATACTTTCCCCTGGTGTAATGGATGGAACATTCGATGTAAACTTTTAAATATTTAACTCGCGTTGATTTTTTGGTATTATTAATCTACATGTAACAAACGTTCAGTAAATGCTACTCACTTCCTCCACAATCTATTAAGGTACACACGACGTTTAAGTCGGAGCGGCAGGTGCACCCGTTACAGCCGTCACCGGCGGGAAAATTCTCTCCTACCTTGTACGTTCTGCCATCATTTAGAATGCATACTAAAACGAGAGCAAGTTACAAATATTTCTGGTGTGGAATTTACTTCAAGATTACATGGGTTTTTGAAGAAACAAGCTATCAAAATGATTTTTTTTAAAGAAAAAAAAAAACGTTGGCAGAGTTATTCCCTGAGGATTGTCTTCTTATAACAAATTTTTAAAACAGTTCTGTAAAGCAAAAGACAATTGGTTTGAATTATAGATTTTAGCATATTACACTTTAGGAATTGTTTTAATTTTTTCAAAGTAAACAATGCAAAATGATATTGTATACTTTTAAAATCTCAACATCCTTAAATGAAAGGAAGTTTCCCATTCAGAATTTTTATTACATTTCTATACAGAATTATAACTTCTTGAGAGCTAGAGAGAAGTGAGAGAGATAAATGTGTATAGTGATACCTCCTACAGGCTTCTTCGGAGGATATGGACCTCGATCATACTGGGCTAAAGCCTGTAAAACAAGTCAAAAAGATAGGATCATGCTGTTTTAAAGCCTTTAAAAAGGATAAATTATACTGTCTTCAAGCTTAAAAGGTCAACAAGATAGGATCATAATGTGTTAAAGCCTGGAAAAGGTCAACAAGATAGGATCCTTCTGTTCTACCCTAACAAAAAAACTATAGTGAACTATAGATTACTTTACTTAACTATAGTAAATCAAAGTTTTTTAAGTGATCACTATAGTAAATCAAAGTTTTCAAAGTGATCACTATAGTAAATCAAAGTTTTTAAAGTGATCACTATAGTAAATCAAAGTTTTCAAAGTGATCACTACAGTAAATCAATTTTTTAAAGTGATCACTATAGTAAATCAAAGTTTTCAAAGTGATCACTATAGTAAATCAAAGTTTTTAAAGTGATCACTATAGTAAATCAAAGTTTTCAAAGTGATCACTACAGTAAATCAAATTTTTAAAGTGATCATTATAGTAAATCAAAGTTTTCAAAGTGATCATTATAGTAAATCAAAGTTTTCAAAGTGATCACTATAGTAAATCGAAGTTTTCAAAGTGATCACTATAGATAAATCAAAGTTTTTAAAGTGATCACTATAGTAAATCAAAGTTTTCAAAGTGATCACTTTAGTAAATCGAAGTTTTCAAAGTGATCACTATAGTAAATCAAAGTTTTTAAAGTGATCACTATAGATAAATCAAGGTTTTTAAAGTGATCATTATAGTAAATCAAAGTTTTTATAGTGATCACTATAGTAAATCAAAGTTTTTAAAGTTATCGTTATAGTAAATCAAAGTTTTCAAAGTGATCACTATAGTAAATCAAAGTTTTTAAAGTGATCACTATAGTAAATCAAAGTTTTTAAAGTGATTACTATAGTAAATCAAAGTTTTCAAAGTGATCACTATAGTAAATCGAAGTTTTCAAAGTGATCACTATAGTAAATCAAAGTTTTTAAAGTGATCACTATAGTAAATCAAAGTTTTCCAAGTGATCACTATAGTAAATCATCATTTTTAAAGTAATCACTATAGTAAATCAAAGTTTTTAAAGTGATCACTATAGTAAATCAAAGTTTTCAAAGTGATCACTATAGTAAATCAAAGTTTTTTAAGTGATCACTATAGTAAATCAAAGTTTTCAAAGTGATCACTATAGTAAATCAAAGTTTTTAAAGTGATCACTATCGTAAATCAAAGTTTTTTAAAGTGATCACTACAGTAAATCAAATTTTTAAAGTGATCACTATAGTTAATCAAAGATTTCAAAGTGATCACTATAGTAAATCAAAGTTTTTAAAGTGATCACTATAGTAAATCAAAGTTTTCAAAGTGATCACTATAGTAAATCAAAGTTTTTAAAGTGATCACTATAGTAAATCAAAGTTTTCCAAGTGATCTCTATAGTAAATCATCATTTTTAAAGTGATCACTATAGTAAATCAAAGTTTTTAAAGTGATCACTATAGTAAATCAAAGTTTTCAAAGTGATCACTATAGTAAATCAAAGTTTTTAAGTGATCACTATAGTAAATCAAAGTTTTCAAAGTGATCACTATCGTAAATCAAAGTTTTCCAAGTGATCTCTATAGTAAATCATCATTTTTAAAGTGATCACTATAGTAAATCAAAGTTTTTAAAGTGGTAACTATAGTAAATCAAAGTTTTTAAAGTGATCACTATCGTAAATCAAAGTTTTCAAAGTGATCACTATAGTAAATCAAAGTTTTTAAAGTGATCACTATAGTAAATCAAAGTTTGACAGTTTTGACTAAAGTTCCAAAGTGATCACCATAGTTTATCGAAGTGTCAAAAGTGTTGGCCAATGTAATCAAAGTGTTGGCCAAAGTAATCAAAGTGTTGGCCAAAGTAATCAAAGTGTTAAAGTATTGGCCAAAGTAATCAAAGCGTTGGCCAAAGTAATCAAAGTGTCAAAGTTTTCGCTAAAGTTTATCTAAGTGTCAAAGTTTTCGCCAAAGTTTATCAAAATGTTAAAGTTTTCGATAAAGTTTGTCAAAATCATCACTAAAGTAAACTAAAGTAAAGTTTTCAAAGTTATAACTATAGTTAACTATACTTAACTATGGTAAACTAAAGTTTACAATGGTCACCAAGGATTCTACTGTACAAAATTTCCCCAAGGCAGAATAATTGTACTAATACCTAAAATGCAGGTCACCAAGATATATCAATATTGTCCTAGAGCCTATTAGTTCACCAATATACGATCATACTATGCTATAAACCATTATAAATTTCAATAGGATAGGGCCATACCATACGCTAAAGGCTTAAAAATATTCACCAAGATACAATTCCTAGTTGTAGGAACTAAATCAATGGTCAGTGAAACAACATCAGTATTACCTCTCTTATTACATTCCATGTTAACAACTGGAGTTTAAGTTTATTTATTATATGCGATATTTCTTTGTAAGAGAAATCAGAATGTTGTGAAGGTTAAATTTTATTAAATTTTTGTTAAATCTAATGAATTTCACGTAAACATATGAAAATTTAAATGAAAATCACAAAAAAGAGAACAATAATGAATTAAAGATTTTAAAATTAAGTATTAATCCTTTAGAGATAAAACTTTCTTTGCTACTTACACAAGATAATGTAAACAATAGAATAAACGCCCCCTGCATCCTGGACAAGAGATTTATATAATGTCACAGCATGCAAATATGTGCTTTTATATACTGACTGTGCAGGCCTTTCCCAAACGTCATTCAATTACGATGATGGGTTTTTCCGAAAACGTTTTGTGTTTTGTATTAACAAATTATGCTTTACAAAAAATCCTTTGAATGATCACGGACTTGTCAGAATTATTATTAATTATTGCTCATAATTAAGGTCCCGTGTTTTCGTCGATTCAAGAATACATAATGAACAAAGACAACCTTGGGCGACATTTATATTTTTAAAAATTCTTACATAATATTTCAGTTTGCATAAATAGGTGAAGGATTAAACCAGAAGTCTCTGTCGAGACTGAAGCTCTACTGGTTTGAACTTATAGCAAAGGAAGAGAAAGTACTTAAGCAGCTGGGATTTGAAACTTTATAAACAGCATTAAATAGAATAATGATCGTTGATAAAGTCTCTTTATGTTCTTAGTGTAGTCTACTTGTGTGCCAAGTTATACTAAAATCGGACCAAAACTGTAGGAGGAGTAGCATTTTGAAACAATTTTACAGACATTTCTATTTTTAGTAACCACGGCAACACCATTCATGAAAATTAAAATTCGATAAACAGAATTATGTATCTTAGTGTATTCTACTTGTTTGCCAAGTTATACTGAAATCAGACCAAAACTGTAGGAGGAGTAGCATTTCGAAACAATTTTACAGATATTTCTATTTTTAGTAACCACGACAACACCATTCATCGAAATCAAAAACCGATATACAGAATTATGTATCTTAGTGTATTCTACTTGTGTGCCAATTTATATTGAAATCAGACCAAAACTGTAGGAGGAGTAGCATTTTGAAACAATTTTACAGAAATTTCTATTTTTAGTAACCACGGCAACATCGTTCATCGAAATCAAAAACCGATAGACAGAATTATGTATCTTAGTGTATTCTACATGTGTGCCAAGTTATACTGAAATCAGACCAAAACTGTAGGAGGAGTAGCATTTTGAAAGAATTTCACAGAAATTTCTATTTTTAGTAACCACGGCAACACCGTTCATCGAAATCAAAAACCGATACACAGAATTATGTATCTTAGTGTATTCTACTTGTTTGCCAACTTATACTGAAATCAGATCAAAACTGTAGGAGGAGTAGCATTTTGAAAGAATTTCACGGAAATTTCTATTTTTAGTAACCACGGCAACACCGTTCATCGAAATCAAAAACCGATACACAGAATTATGTATCTTACTGTAGTCTACTTGTGTGCCAAGTTATACTGAAATCAGACCAAAACTGTAGGAGGAGTAGCATTTTGAAAGAATTTCACAGAAATTTCTATTTTTAGTAACCACGGCAACACCGTTCATCGAAATCAAAAACCGATACACAGAATTATGTATCTTAGTGTAGTCTACTTGTGTGCTAAGTTATATTGAAATTAGACCAAAACTGTAGGAGGAGTAGCATTTTGAAAAATTGTTTACAGACAGACGGACAGACAGACAGACAGACGGACGGACGCCGGACGCATTACTATCGCATAAGCTCTTCTGGTCTCTGACCAGTAGAGCTAAAAACTGTTACTATAAAGCCGACCCCAATTTAAAATAATTATTTTAAGAAATCACCTACTTTAACATGACATCGTTCGCTTCAAGAAACTTTCTTCTTGTCAATTAAATTGTTTCAGACTTCATTAATTCCTCGAAAATAATGTAGATATTTTAAGACTTTAAATGGGATACTTCTGGTTATGGGTAGATAAAACCAGAGACTTTCGAGTATTCCATTAAAAGTTCGGTTTTAACGTTGGCACGTTAAAGATCCCTAATTGTTCAATGGCCGCAAGTGCCAAGTTAGGGTCAAAATAAATCCTTTCACCAGTATTTCGAGAATTTTCTATATGAGTGAAATATTCTCGAATGGGACATTAAACAATAAATCAATATAAGTAAGTCCACACTGTCGCGCGTAAATACTCAGAGACAGGGTTCGGACGATTTTAAGGAAGAAACAGCAAAATACAGAGGGACATCGAAAGTCGGACAAAATATTTGTTTGAATTAAAATATTCATAAATTATAATTGTGTTTCACTTTTGGTCTTTTATCCCTGTGGAACGCAAGATTTCATGGGATATTTTCATTCACTTAATTGTCCCCGAAACATTTTGGGCAGCTATAAAGGAGAAATGAAATTCCCACATCTCAAATATCCGGATGAAAGTTCGACTACGAAAGATTTTCAAAGTCAAAGGCTCCATAAAGGAAAGACATAAGACAGGTAACAGTCTGTACTACAGTTTTGTACTTTAAAAAAAGTTGTAAAATGTTAATAAAAACAATTGTTTTTTAATAAATTGGTTTCATATAAAACTGTTTGATTAAAAATTAATTTAGTGTGCGACTTTACTTGTTGCCATGAAAGCAAGACATTTAAAGTCGGAAACAATGAGCTGATTTTTTAAAGATTTGTATTTTCCCTTATTTAACATGTAAATATATCTAAAATAAATGAATTTAATATTACAGTGTTTGTTTATACGGATATACTTTTCACAGTCAGAATAAATTTTATTTATATAAAACATTCATTTATATACTTATCTCAATTTAAGGTCAAGATCTTATAATGAAAAATGCCTACAGATTTATCAAATTTGAGAAATAAATTCCTTTAATGATGCTTTATAACTAAAGCTTGGTCAAATAAGGTGTTTGGGTCATAATTTGTAGGCAAATAAGATGAAAAACCATATTTTAAACAGTCATTTTCAATGAAAAATTAAGAAAAACAATCATGAATATGGAGTTATTTTTCATATTCGACAAAGGAAATGTATCCAGATTGCTTCAGTCTCTCAAAAAACGGTAATTTGTATGTTCATAGCCTCTTCTTTAAAATGATGTCAAATTTAATATAGGTATTCAGATTACTTTTCATATGATTTCAAATTGAATGCTACGAAAATACCCTATTTTCTACATAATTCTGCTTATGGTATGTCACTCGTGAAATTTGTTAAATCAAGGATTTTTTGAGAAGTGTATTTTGAAAAAGTACTCATATAGAGTGACTCAAAATCGCAGAGAAAATAGGGGGTCAGTGTTCATCTTATTGATCCGCTGTACAATGAAGTTGACCTTTTTGCACTTAAAATTTAACTCTTTGGTTATTTACTTTAAACTTTATCATATTTTATCAGGCGTAACCATGGCAATAAATATGATTTTATTTTACGTAAAAAAATTTGAAAAATATTTATCATTGAACAAATCTTGCAAATTAATGCGCGTAAATTATTGTGTGACCTTTTTGCACTAAAAAGTAGCATGTTTGGGGGTATTAAAAACTAAATAGGCAATAAAACATTTTTTTTTTAATCAAGCTTTTTACGACTTAAGTGCTATCAGTCACAAGTATCGAGCACTTAAAAATAGTGAAAGAAAAAGTTGGGGTCAGTGATGTTAATTTTGAAATATTGCTCAAAATATGTGATTTTTAGGCAAAAATGGTGTAAATCTTATCTTGACTTATTTGACTTATCTTTATTTTTTGTCCAGGTTTGTTGAAAAAAGGTGTAAAAGGTGTTCTAAAAATATAAATTAAGACCTATATTAAATATTTCTAACAATATAACAATGGAAAATATTTTTTAGTAAATGTATGTGAAACTTAATTTCCAAGATATTAAATTTAATAAATGTGCAGATTTGCAGAATTATCTGCTAAATATCCTTCCACCACAAGAAATAGTCCCCCATAAATCTTGCTTCTTTGTAGATTTTTGAGTAGTTTTTTCGTTGAGTGTGAAAATATTAACATTGTTGAAATTAAATATTACATAAAAATTGAATTTTAATAAATAGTTTTAAAGTAAGATGTTCTGCGTGAACTTTTCTAAAAAACTGACGAGTGACATATCTTAAGCCGTAAAGTACGGGAAAGAGAAAGTTGAAATTGATTATGACGTCATAATGGATCTTGAACCACAAAATCAGTCTAAAGTCATTTACTAGATCTTGACTTTAAACTAATAAAACCCACCAAATACTCCTTGTCAAATTCTTCCAAAAAATAATTGAGTCTAAAATAAAATTTAATATATATACATGTCATTCAGTTTCTCTTAGAACCGTCTTTTAATGTTCAATGCTTACATGATATATGTATCTATCTTTGCAAAAAAGGGGCTTACAACCCCACCCCACCCCACCCCGACCCCCCCACCCCCCGTTCTGCAGTGTGAAAAAAGAAGCTTTAATATAGATTGATTTACATATTCATCTATAGTTTAAAAACATGACATACTTCAAAACCCTTACTTTTCAGAATTTGAGAAAAAAAGTATCTATCTTTGCAAAAAAGGGGCTTACCCCCTCCCCCCGTTCTGCAGTATGACAAAAGAAGACATAATATAGATTGATTTATATATTCATTAATAGAATAAGAACATCACATACTGACAAAACCCTTACATTTCAGAATCTGAGAAAAAAAGTATTTTCCCTCTGCTTTTCTACGACGGCGTATTCGTGCCATATGGACAATGTAGAGAAAATTTTTAAAAATCGCTTGAACGATTTAGAAAATCGTTTGTACGATTTTTTTTAAAAATCGTTTGAAGGATTTAGCAAACTCCCCGAACAGCTAAGTTGGGACTGTTCAGACGTTAGAACAAATTCGGCAAAAGGGATGTAGCTCTTTTCATTGAGTCATGTTGTCAATTGCATTGATACAGGTGGTTGTACTGGAAAGCTATTATGGCAGGATTTACCGTTTCTAGAGAAAATATTCGATGTCTTCTTTCTATACAAGATCCGGATGGAGTGTGTTTAAGAAGAAAAACAGAATAAGACGAAGATTGTTCACTAACAAATGTCCAAATTACGTATGGCACGTAGATGGACTATACAATTATTCAAGTGATGATAAAAACATCGTGAATGTAATTGTGATATGATGGTTTACTAATTTTAACATTACAACAATATTCATACAGTATAATTAACAAGATAGAGTTTACAATAAGTGTTTCTGTAC